CGTTCTATGGGTCAAGAAAATCTGCCATATTATAGCTGTTTCCCCTGAAGATCTCCTTTGGAAGAGGTTGCCACAATTTGCTATCACCCCCCAGCTCATCCATAGTCGCATGCCCCTCCAGTTCGAGAAGCTAGGAAACCTGTGGGTGATCCCTGCAAGTTTCTTCCACAAAGCAATCCTTATCCTGACGAACCCTGCAATATGGTTACCAGAAAGGAACATGAGGTCCTCGTATCACCCCTGTATGTATGTATGTATGTATGTATGTATGTATGCAGGTATGCATGTATGCATGTATGCATGTATGCATGTATGCACGTATGCATGTATGCATGTATGCATGTATGCATGTCTGTATGTCTGTATGTATGTATGCATGTATGTATGCACCCCTTTATGCCTTCTTGCCGAAGCTGGTCATAATGCATATATGGCCCCCCTCTTCAAACTGCCTGTATGCTACACTGCAGAAGCCTGATATGGTCCATCTTGACTTACCTGTAAAAGTTGTATGCTGTTGAATCCTTTTCTGCAATCCATTTGTAGTGCCCAAGCCCATACCGTCCGTGAAAGAGGCATGGGCTATATACTCCATGAATGATTTTTTCAGGGAAGCTCTTTCTCTCACGGTGATCTTTTTGAGCTAAGAACACCTGTTCTGCATCCGATGGTGCCAGCGCTCTGCCGAATGAAGGAACTATACACTCTTCCGATTTGCATAACTCTTTGCCGGGTTCATTGTCTGCATCCCTTCCTCGTTCCACCCGAAAGTCCTCGTGTAACCTTTCTTTGATCCGTACTTAAAACCGCCACATTTCGGCAGATCACACTTGTAGGACTAAGGGCCTTCAGAGTCCTTACGCATACGAGTGCCTCAGAGAATCATAAGAATCATCGTCCTTCACGACTTGCTCCTTCGGTTCGGAGGATCCCAAGACTTTCCGCATGCCTCATGAAGGGACTACAGGTTGGAGACTCCTGCGAAAAGTTTCTGGCGTGATTCTTCCATCTTTCATCTTGCCCCCCAATTGGATCCAATCTCAGGGGTTTGGATTTAGTTTGCCAACCATGAGACATGAACGTGGTGGCAACGGAATCTAGAAACGAAATGAACTTCGCAAAAACGCGGCTGAACACACTACTTAGAAACAAGTCCTGAGTAGATGTCGCCAATAAATGTGGAACGTCGATTGTAGATCTGGGTTCCGGACCTGGGTCCCCCCAACAAATGTTACTAAGAAAAGGAACCTCTCAACCCTAAAATGGCTAGACTTTTGGTAGGAGTGGGTACCATTTGCTGCCCGGGATTTGTTTTCCTTCGATGAATCGAGGCTTGCGGAGTACTCTAATCTAGCTCATGCTTGGATAAAACACCTCATAATACAGAGATCATCTGAGATGATATTTCTCTTCCGTGTCGCATCTGTATTGTCTCTCCTCTACAGAGGGGAAGGGCACAATCCAAAGCATCACTGGGCATGAAGGATTGTTCTGCAGGCTAGACCTGTTCAGTCTTCGAAGGAGATTGAGGGCCATTCTTCGTATGCGCTGCGTTTCCCAACAACAACACCAGGATGCTGGGTGAGGTCACAACCAGTGTGTGCATCAGCAGTGCTAAGCCCAATTTCGATACCCCGAAACTGAAAAAGCCCAAGCTCCACAGTCAATAGCCAACGCATCCCAAGAGATCCAAGTCTCCGAGGTATGCTCTAGCACTCCCCGCTCTCCACGCAGACCCTCGAGCGCAGAGAGGCTGAAGGATCCCAGGACTCAGAAACTCGGCCTTGAAAGGAGAGAAGGTTTAGGTTGTTGGGTTTGAAAAATCATTTGGGAGGGTACTGTAGTGAGTTGCGACAGGCGGTGGAGGGGGGAGGTTAACGGCTAGAGATGTCAGGGTGAGGACCATGTCACTGGGTACATTCTGAACTTCAAAGAATTAGGCACAGTAACATGGATGAAGAATTCAAGCTTCGAACGGGTTGCAGCAAGAGTGACAGCCATCATGAGGATGAGGCCGAGCAGGTGAGCGGGCCTTTTCTTCTATCCTATTCGGGCGAACTTCCCTCTACACGGTTGTGGTTCCATTGAAGAAGAAGCTCTAGAATAAACATGGCAAGTTTTTTGGATATCCCGGCATTAAGGGGATTGCGGCGGTCATGGGGGCCTCTACATCAGACAGGCTGCAGCTGGAATATGCATCACGGGGGCGCAATGACTGCCAGACCGCAGTCGTCTGCGCGAGGGCGACAGTCTGCACAGGATGCTAGTGCAGAACGGGTCTGCTTGCAAGACCGCTTGCGTGCTAATTTCGCTGACTTGAAAGAGACACTCCGTTCAGAAGTGTGCTGTGCGGACACCTTCTTGGATTCTCCTACTCAAAGGCCCGAGCTGCAAGAGTGCCCGTCAGATGACCACCTCATAGAAAAGCTTATGCGGCACAAGGATTTACTGCTGGCATTCAAATCCTCCAGGTCTCGTGGTGCCAAGAAATCAGGTTCGCCATCTTTGGGTGTTTCAAAGTCTGCACGAGGAGAGAGCACTGGGCGGGCTGACTGGGAAAGTGCCCGCGCACCAAGTAGATCACAGACGCCTATTCGGGAGAGGTTTCTGGCTGGAGATGATGCTGCAAGCAGGGTGGACTTCAAAGATACGCTTCGCCCACATATGAACCGTGGAGGCACTTTTGTTGGAGCTCATGTTGAAAGACCTGAGCTGCAGGAATACCTGTCAGCAGACCACGGCGCGCAAAAGCCTCTGTCTGAAACCTTGCGCGCAAGTTTCTGTGACAAGAACTGTGACAAGCTTTACACCTATGATTTTCATGTGGGATGAACATTCGCGTTTATGAATCAGAACAAGGCCTGCAAAAGAGTTCAAATCCAGCTACGATGGTTCCTTCACTAGGGTCCCCAGAAGCAAGAATAAAGATCATTGAGATATTACAACTAGAGTACAGTCTTACTGAGCACACTCCGAACGCCGAAAGCTTGTCTTCAGCTCAGGTTTGAGGCAGGGCCCCACTTTCGTTTACAGTGGCTCGTCCACAAAGCCGGACGCTTGGATGCCTCGGGAAAGGGATTGGATCCGTACACTTTCGGGAGGCTCTTACAAAATGTGCTTTGTATTATAGTAAGGACCAACCGAGCAGCTCACAGTGGAATTATTTTTGTGAAGTTTTTCTGGCAGAGTAGAGGATGCTGGGGCTGCGTATTTGCTGGCAGAGAATGGAGGCGCAGCAGACTGGAAGGATGTACTTCGACCCACTCTGCGCATTGGCGGGACGTTCGTGGGTGTGGGACAGCGAGCTGAAACTAGACTGACTTTACTTTATAGGGACACGTCGTAATCTTGCTTTGCTGCTGCAGGAAGGGTCAATTTGTGTTTTCTTCACGGTTTTGAAGCACCAATCAAGGAAGCCTCGCCTGACATCTTGCCAGAAGCTGGGGAGACGCCAGTGTCCTTGCAAGATACGCTTCGCAGGAATCTCAGGCACGGATCTACGTTCATGCGGTCAAGGCAGCGGGAAGCGCCCCGCGACTACTGCTCGATCCATCTCTGGAGTTACCCGCAGTGACTTGGATTTCAACTCAACTCAACGAGGCTTACTTGCAGACTAGAGGACCATAGTCTGGTCCTTTGCCTGGCGCACCGTTGCAGACATTTTTTCAAGGCACTTTAAATTCAGAAGACAACCTAGACAATTAAAGAGCTATTGGGATGAAATTTTGCGCTGACCCTTGAGGTTTGACCCACCAAGCAACACCTTCTATGAGTCTATGAGTGTAGCGGGAACGGCAGAACTTCACCCGTGCAACTTAAGCAACGTCTTTGGGTGGTTGTTTTCCCTACTTGCGTCGTGCGCAAGACCTAGCAATCACTAGCGGACTAGCGAAGGCCCAACAGAAAAGCGGCTGATAAAAGAGGGCTGTAAGGAGGATTCCTGACACAGGGACAAAGAGTCGGGCTGGTGTTGGGATTCGGCCTGTGAGAGCCTCATATATTTAGCAGCCAGCAAAGCCTGAATGAGAGTAATCCCTGCACCGCCTGCTATTGCTTTTCAGACGCCACTAAACATCCGCGATGGGTTGCGACTAAGTCGAACCTTGGATCTCAATCGCTGAAGCTCTGAGGCCCTTGAATTAGGGGCTTCAGGAAGCTCGCGCGGCGTGTTTCTTTATGCTCACATATTCCGACACATGTGCATCAGCAAATGCTGAAAGTCTCGTAGTGGGAGTGCCTCAACACAAGGTGTATCTTGTCTGCTGCTTGGATTTTGTCTAAATTCTACTTTCTGAAGAACAGACATCTTCGAAGGAGGATCCACCTATTTCTTGTGTGTGTGTGTGTGGAGAACTGTTGGAATCGCGGTCATTTCTGGCCTCAGCAAGCTTGGCTCAAGGCTGTACGCAGCCCCAGGTTCTGACAGATGCACATTTGGCCATTTTCCAATTTACGCGAGGTTCTGCTACATAAGCTTCACATGCCTCAAATCCTTGTTGTGCTCCATCCAGTGATTTGGGGCACTTCCACAACCGATGGGCCCTTGCCGAGACACAGTGGCAGATGTGCGGTGCTAAAAAGGGGAGAACGTGGAGCCGCAGACCTTGAAGTCCTACATACCCTCCCCTCTCCTCCTGGCTTCTCCATAGATGATTCCACGATATGACACAGATCCAAGCTACTTCTCTAGCAGAGATCCCAACAGAGTGCTCCCAGCTCTAGTTAGGCTTGAACTGGCTGCGCTCAAAATGCTGCTCATGATGCTGCAGGGCTGAGAGTGAACCTAGGCAAGCCCCTACAGTCTCCAGCACTGCCACAGTTGTGATCCATATGTCGTTCCTTGGTCTACTTACTGCTGCTGTGGTTTCTTTATTTTTAAGCATTGACATGTTGTTCACTTTCAACAGCTGCTTGATCCCCGCCTATCAGCTGGTCTTCCGTGTGAATAATAGATGCCTGCAGATGCGTTTGCGAACAGGATCGCTTTGAAGGATGACGCCATTTTCGAGTTTAACTGGTTGCTGGGAGGGCATGAGCTGACAGCCAGCATGGGTATTTATTCAGGTAAGGATTTTTTGGTGGGGTAGAAAAATCATTGCGGGCAACTTTGTTCACATGCTATATAGTCTCAGAATGTCTCAGACATCTCTGGGCCCTTGTTAGTTCAATGTTGAGAAGGGGTCCTCCTTGAACAATGACTCGAATGCTGGGTATGGTTCCGCTGCAGATTTTGCAGCCGCATGGGCCTTGAAGACCATGATGGCAAGTAGACAATTTTCAGATCAAGCTGTGCTGTTTTCCGCCATGATTTTCGCCGCGCTCCTGCTGCTGGATGCTTGGATTTAAGCTATCCGGGAAGGTTGTTGATCTATGCTGCCTCAGAGTATGGGAAGACTTGGAGTCCATCCGTTTCTGGCTGGGCTCCTACCTCGAATCACAGTGCATGTTGCTGTGACAGGAGGACTTGCTTTTCCCCAAGCCCCGATAATAACGCAGTGCCACTAATATTCTACAAGCCATGTCTGAGAAATGCAATAGCGGCAAGAAGCCAAAATGCCAGAGCATGGTGTAGACCCAGTATCAGCCTCGTGCAATTTGGTTGCATCTTAAGACAGGGTCACGCGCCTTTGATCTCTCCAGTGGTAGGGCTCTTGTAATATTCAAACCATGACCCGCATATTCAGGCCTTGGCTTTCAGATCCCCATCTGAGGCCACACCCGCTTGGGCAGACTCGCCGGCTCTGCCTGATCGAATTGAAGGCGCTGACGGCTAACAATCTCAGGAGGTCTTTACGATGAGGCTCTGTTGTTTTGGAAGGTGATGGAGGGGAATGATTGTGACAACTTCTAGCAGCATCTTTAAAAGATCTCAGCACGGGAGCTGCCGACAGAAGTTTACAATGCACAGGGTGGATAGGGAAACCTTTTAATGCGTTGCAAGACCGGAGGGGACATGCCGGGGCTCTCATAGGGTTGGAGTTTACAGGATGTGGCAAACCTTGTAGAAGAATTAGAGAAGTCCTTGGTATCATCCATCTGCAGTCCTGCAATCCTTGCAATCCTAAGATTCCACCTCACGAGCCGGGTCCCCGAGTTCCCCACAAACTGGTTGGGGCCATGGATTTGCGGAGTTGATCAGAATAATCACAAGGGCATTATAACCCTTGTGAGGCGCATTTTTCGGCTGCCTCGTAGCAGACGCTCTTACCCTGGGTTCCTTGGCTGCTGATTCCACAGCTGCTTTCCACAAAAGCCTCCAGGAGAGCTTAAGTACATTCAAGCCATTGAAAGAGACGTGCTAAGTGCACATCCATGCAACGTGCTGAATTTGGTCATTCGAACAGGCAATTTGAAGCTGAAGCTGTGGCGCCATGTTGACAAGCGTGGTTGCTGTCAGCTATTTCCAAGGATTGTGCAAACAGCTTTTAGGGTGGTATGTAGCCATCTCAGGATTCATGTGGATTTTGTGCTCTGGCAGAGCTGGCTGGAAAGGATCTGTGCGCTAGCTGAGATGCTAAGGCTCGCACTATGAGTACGATGCGAAGGTTATCAAGCAGGCCTTGCACATTTGCCGGCAGATGAGGGTTTGAGGGCCTGATGTCAGGTCAGGGGTTGCAGGCTCAGGTCCGCTCAGGTCCGAGAGTGGAAGATTCAGGATGGAGGTTTAATGCGAGGTTGTAGGTGGATGGCCGAGCTTTGCATCTGCTGTCAATGATGAGTTAGATCCCCAGAGTCCAAAGGGGCGTAGACTGCCGTGAACCTGTGCCTTGGAGGCTTACGGAGGCACCATTCAGAGGTACATGGGCCCTGGCTATTGGGCTTCAGTAGTATCGTTTCGTGTTTTGTCTTGTGTTCTTACAGCGTCTGCTTCTACCCCCGAAGTTTATCGTGTTCAAAAGGGTGCTGGCAACAAGGCGAAGCTATGGGTGGCACTACGCATGGTGTTGGTTGGGGTCGACGCAATTACCATCCGGGCCAGAAAGCAGGACCGATGGGACGTGAGGACGTGTCGTGGGTCTGCGTCCAGTGCGTGGCGTGGCAGTGATTTTTGACCTGGCTCCATGATTTTGTGCGAGGGATTCTGGTTCGGGTTTGCGGCTCCGTTTCAAGTCGGCATCAAGTTTGAGGGTATTGACAGCTGGCATCTCTGCTGCGTTTCTCAGGGAGCAGTGAACCCTGACTGCAGCAGAAAGCTGGTTCAAGATGCAAACTAACATGGTTCAAACCCTCGGCCTCAATGCCTAATTAAGCTCGAAAGACTTTCAAACGAAAAACTCCATGTGGGGCTTGTGAGGAGATCAGACTGATTACGGCGAGTACAATTTGCTCGGCGCACGCCTCAAGTCTTCGGGGTTGGTGCATTGGGGGGTATGGCTTGATACCGCGATGCGGCATAGGTGGAAGCTAAATTTCGTTGGCTTGGTTTCAGGGTCTGGGGATTTGGATTGCATTTTGCATGCCATGAATGGTTCTCAAGGTCCTGGCAGACGTTGTCCTCAGGAAATTTACAAACTCACAATGGAACTCTCAAGATCCGATAGGCGAAGAACCGAAGAACCCTGTGCGGAGCTCTAAGCATCGCAGCCGCACCCTTTTTCAACCTAGGCTTAGAGTACCTAGCCTCCCGCAGCGCGGGGGAGGCGAAGTCTCCGATCAGGTCCTCCAGCTGATGCTCTGAGGGTTTTGTGCTTCAGGATGTCTGGGGTTGAGTCATTTCCAGGGCGCAAAGTTTTGGGTTTGCTTTTTTATGGCAACAAGTTCATTTGAGGTAACGGATACCCAGGGGCAATTACATAGCATGTGCTTAATTAAACTAGTTGCTCGCTACATTTCGCGTGGAGAGACCGCAAGACTTAAATCAGGTCGTGCTCAGAAGTGCTTCGTGTCGACTTTGCGGACAGCTGTGCTCTCCGCCAAGCTGTAGCCTTCATTCAGTGGGCCCGAAAACACCAAGGGGATCCAAGGGGTTCCCCTATAATTTAGCCTACAATGAAACCCTCCAAACAAGTGGAGGAGTCTGAGGGACGGTTCGTGCTGGCAGTCGCAAGGAAAGAAGGGTCCTTGAACTCCTACTCAAAGATCAGAGCAATGTTGATTCTCAATGAGCTTCTGGCTCAGAACATCCGTGCATATTCATCAAAAGCTCCGAGAAAAGTTATGTAAACAATTTTACGGTATTGGCCCTCCCAAATCAAATATCCAACAGGGTGCACGGCAAAACTCTGAATATTTTTTCTTGTAGCGCTAAAGTAGATGCAAGCTTCTTCGAGTCTTGCAAACATAGTCAGAGCAGAACTCGGCACTCTGAGCCAGTTTGGCTACATCTGTAGGAAAGGCTAGGCGTTGTCGTGGGACTAGAAAAGCATGATGTATGATCATTAGAGCCGCCTATCCGACAACACCCAAACCCACGCACCTCTATGAGCCCAAGCCCAGGCTAGAGGGTCTAGTACCCTTTTGGCAAAAGCGTGTGACCTCAAAATCCTGGGGCGCATGGCTGTGCACGCAGACCAAGCAGACCCTTCAGCAGGCCTTGCTTCCGTCAGCTTGGCTGTGCCATTGGCTGTGCCATGGGTGTATAGGGCTCGTGTCAGGTCAAGTTGTTCTGAGTCTAACGTCTACCGCTATGGTTCAGGACCACATTGGATCTTTACAGCAGGTTTTTAATTTCTTCGCATTTAGACCCCTCACCACAGCTAGTGTCGGATTCTGGCCTGATGGCACTAGTGCTCCTCTATGTGGGACAAGTCCTGGCTGCAAACAAGCTAGCACATCCACCCTCAACACACGACGCAAGGTCTGGCAATTTTAGAGCATAGCAGCGGAGATCACCAGATATGGATTCCAGATTCTTTCGATAGGATTCTTGTTTGCTGCGAGATTTCAGGATTTTGCCGGAATAAATCTGGAATGAAGAAGTGCGAGGTTCAGGATGCAGCTCTTGGTGTTCAGATTCTGCTTGAGCTCAGAGATTGATGTGCTTACGCCAGTCCCACAGGACAACTGTACTTGCTTCGTTAAGTGTTGCCACTACCTTTCTGAAGGTGCCAACCATGGGGGTTCTAAATTCCCAAATACAGTTAGTCATACCATCGCACAGATAATCCTCTTCATGATGTCGATGATGATACTGATGAGATGAACATTGAGCTACTATAGCACAGCAAGAGGGAGAGTGAGGGTGAGAGAGAACGAGAAAAGATGATGATAATGAAGATAAGGATGGTCGCAGTCCTCGTCCCACGTGCACCGTCATCGTCCTCCTCCTCGTCCACCTCGTCCTCATCACCCTCGTAATTGTCTGTTTGCGAGGTGTCCCAGAAGGTTCCCTACGAGAGGTTGGGGGGCATGTCCAACGCAACTTGGGCTCCCAGTGGGCAGTGCATGGAAGAGGGATGTCAGGAAGCTTGCTTCAGGATGCCCACCTTGGGCGGCTAATGTACAGTTCATGCAGTCAGGAATGATGCAGTCCATCACCATGTTTGTTCTGCGGACTGTTGTGCTGGGGCGAGTTGATGCCTCTGGCAGCTGGAAGGGTGGCAACTGATTGGTTACAGTTGGAAAGGCTAACTTGAATTCGTCCCTATGCAGATGCTGCAGCAGCAGCAGCACATAGCAGCACCAGCAGCAGCAGCAGCGAGCAGCAGCAGCAGCAGCAGCTATCGGTCTAAACCATCTTGTCTCATGGCTTGATTTTCCAGATCGTGTCCAAAGACACATCTCGTTGGCTCCTGTATATTCTCAACTGAACCAGCCAAGGCCATGTCGCTTCGTCATGCAGCAGCTTATGCAGTCTTTGACAACGAGGCTGAGATCGTCAAAGCTGCACGCGCTTCGGCGGCACGAAGGGAACTCAAAGACATGTAAGATGACAAGTAAGAGGAATACCTGCAGAGTTTGGGATAGTCTCGACACAAAAGAGGCTGTCGTGTCCGCAGCAGTGTCGTAGACATAGATTTTGCTGGAGCTCTGAAGTTTACGTTGGGCACTGTCGAAACCCGTCCGGAAACACCATCGGACCATGACCCGGGCTGCATTTACTATGTTCCAAGAAATTGCGTCGCCATAGCCCTTCAGCATCTTCGTCGAAGCATTCTGGGATGCTGCGTTCAGTGTACTCACGTAAGCACCCTGGGCTGAAACTCTGCAACCTGAGGCACCATGATGTTCACCCATCGGAATACAGCTGCTGGGCTGATTTTCAAGAGTGTACGCTGAGCCTGAACTCTTGCACGACCCCAGAAAAGGAACCCCGATGCGGGAGAGATCCCCTTTCCGGCGCAGAGAGTTCGGCTGCCTAGGCTAAGTCGCAAGAATCCGCTGACCCTGACAAAAGAGCGGCCTTCAGCTAAGGAATCTCCCAAATAGAGAAAATTCCCTAAAGGTGCAGACACCGGTCATGGCAACATGTATCATGGGGTGATGAAGCTTCCTTTCCCGGCCAATCTTTGCAATAGCGCTGATTATTCTTGCGCTCACCTTCAACGTGGCAGTATGGTATCAATGGAAGGAGTCTAGTTAAAGGCCACGGGGACCAGGCATTTCTTATCTGCGGCTGATGGGTTGTGTGCTGTCTGGGCATGTGTCCGGGTCTGTTGACGACTCAGAAACTCATGCTCGGAACGCTAATTCCCAGACGTCTAAACTTGTGACCTCTCAACATTCTCAACAGCTGAAAGTCTTGAAGCCCTCCATTCCAAGCACATCCTACTCGAAATTCAGGAAGCTCTGGGCGGCGGAGAATTCTTTGGCCGAGTAGCCTTCCGGATCATCCACAAGGGCTTGAAGCCTCGGCAGGCTTGGGTTTGTGATTTTTGGGTTGGGGCTTGCGTGCGCATGGAGTGCAAATTGCGAACTCCTGCAAATTGCTAAAGGCCGAGATACCCTGGCTTTTCAGGAACCTTGCGGCACTTGTTGGTTCATCCAGCACGAAATGCGATCCCATCCGCGACCGACATTGGATGGAGCTGGAGTAATGGTTCCGAATAGCTGAGGGATACACCCGACAGAAGCACGCTCTCGTTCTGCGAATTGATGCTTTCATTAGCCTTGGAGGTGATGCCAGCGCAGGTCCAAGGAGCCTGAGTCTAGATATCTAACCTAGGAGGAAAAGCATCGTCACTGATGATAGGCCATCGAGGAGGTCGCTACAGAGATGGGCGGATGGTTCACGGAGAAGGCCCTCCTTCAAAAGATTGGGGCGCATGTGTGCAGTGTAGTCGCAGCAGCAGTAGCAGCAGCGAAGCCAGAAGAACCTGCTTCAGTACTGCGACCCAGGCCATAGATTTGCTACTAAGCTTGCAGATGTTGGCGGAGGGTGTGAGTAAGATATATGCTGCAAAAAGTTCAACATACCGTTTCAACGGCTGTTCAGGACTTCATTTGACTGTCAACCCTCTCCATCCACACCCTCATCTTGAGTCCCCCTCAAGGCATGGTAGACAATTTCCACTGAAACCTACCAGCACCCTCATGAGTTGGCTCACCGGCAGGCAAGGCAGGGCATTGCCAAGTTTGAGGAAGCCACAGACCCCACCAAGCCTTTGTCCAAGGAGGCCGCAAGTCAATTAGAGTAAACCCTGAGCAGTAGTTGTATATAGTTCTGGACCACACAACGCATGAAATTTCGGCGGGTGCATATTGCGATAGACTTGGAGGAGATGCACATGACGGACGCAACATCCAGGTTTAGCGTACTTCAGCCATAGATGGCCCGATGCCTCAAAGCTTGTATGAAGCCGACTATACATGCACTCTCTGAGGAGGCTGAGTCAACTCGTGAGCGATCTTCTGAACGCGTGGAATACGAAGAGCTTTATTCTACGGGTAGATTTTTCCGCAGACAAGCATCGCGAGCTCAAACTCTCAGCTGGATCCAGCTTCCATTTTGCCATTTCCAGATTTGGCAATCTCCAGTCTCAAGAATCATGGGCCAGTGGGGGTTCTTAAGCACCGCGCTGGCGAAGGCTTTGCTCAGAAGATCTGAGCATTGGAGGTCTCAACACGGACGAAAGAGACACAAAGCTACAGGTAGTAGCCAATATGAGCGTACTCGAGGAGGGAGGTTCCGAAAGTACGACGGCGAACCCGGATCCTCTCTTTAGTTTAGGGGCGTTAAGGACCTGAATCTAAAGATCTAAAGCACCTTCAACCTCGAATCTGTATCCCAACCACCAAACCCTACAACGCACCGACTTCAAAGCCAATGTCAGTTCTGACCCAATGGAAGAAGCAGATGAAACATAGAGGCGCAAGCTTGTTTGAGGAGTTTGTGGATGATCTTGCAATGACCTCAATGGCTCGGCTCTGGGATGTTGGCAAGAGTGAGCCAATCAAGGCCAGCTATCCTTTTGCGGGCGCGCGGTTGGTGTAAGATTTGGACTTTGGGTTTGAGGCTTCAGGTTCAAGATGAAAGGTCTTGGGTTGACGGGCTTACCATGGCTGAGGTCTCAAACGCTGACCCACAGTTTTAGCACTTCCCCTTTGTCTTTCAGCAGGTATTGAATCATTGCAATCCCTGCTTGAGTTCTCGATCGGCCTATAGCTTCTGAGTCCGCACTTGCCCTTTCAGCATGATTTCAAATACCTCAATTCGCAAACAAGTTGGATGAGACCCGCGTGTCTGAGACTGTGGCGGCTTTCAATCTAAGAGTACTGCTACCCTGACGGGACAAGGCGGCCGCTAAAGCAAATTCCAGACCCTTTTGCACGAGACCCGTGGGGGACATGGGTGACTACAGCGTGTGCTCAACTGGCTCAACAAAACTTCAAGCCGTTGTTACTTCAAGTTGCACAACTAATTCATCAGGCCCCTTCTTGACCCTCGGCCTTAAGTTTCTGATGGTTTTGAGTCATCCTTCTACCTTGAGTGCAATACAGTGAGGTGGGCAAAGCCTCGCCCACAGAGGGCACACTGCCCAGCAGCGTTTACATCATCCTCAAGATGCTTGGCTCATTCTGGCTGTTGCTTAAACTATTGTCCCTGATATAGACCCGGCTGCCACATGACATGACCCCCAGTATGAAAGCTTAGCTGTAGATCCCAAACGCCTTTAACCAGGGGAACCAAGTCTTGCAACATCCTCACTGCTTCCTCTGAGGTATGAAAATGATTTCATTGCCGGGCTCAAGGCGCTGACAGGTTTTGAAGTTTAAGTTTGGCATCTGGGGTGGATGATGCCACGGGATGAGGCAATATACGAAACGAGAGCGCATCTCCCCACGTGAGCCATATGCGGGAATAGGTGTCTGCGGTCCCGTCATCACCAGCACATAAAGTGTTTTCTGAAGAAGGTGAGCTCGCCTAAACCCTTGGTCTTCCTTCAAGTTGAAGCCGAAAAGAGCGCACTTCCCAACTCAGCACGAACAGCGGAGGCGAATGCAATGGTCGGTGGCGACAATGCCGCACGTTCAGTGGCCATTGGGCTGGTTCTAGGCGAGGAATGGTATCATGAGAATTCTGATGGTGCTCACGCAGAAAACGATGACAGCGTAATTATCCGCCGGCTTTGAACAAGTTGACGTTACATGACGTTACCCTGACTGACTAGCTGCTGTTTGGCTGCTTGCCTGACAGACCCATGCTCTAGCACGAAATGTATGGAAGCGGATTTCAATGCCACGCTGGAGACAATGTGATAGCGCGTGTTACAGGGGTTGCATCTCAGGGTATGAATCGTCTTTGAAAGCCGGAGGCAAATGTGCAAATCCCAGTACATGTGCTTGGCCCAATCCCCTTGCCTCAATGCCTTTGCCTTCACTCACGTCGACATATGGCTCGACTAGTGACAAGCCTACACCCTGAGGCCGGAGGTTTGAGTGCTCACCAGTGCCCACGTATCTTCCAAGCATACACGGCCTTCACTGTAAGCGCTACACAGAAGGAATGCGCATCCCGGTCCTCTGAACACCTTGGACCTTGCGAGCGCGGTCCTGAGCCAATAGTGCCCTATTCGATTTCCTAAGTGAAGCCCATGAATATCTGGGTATCTGCATATCCAGAAATCTAGCAACGCTGGTCAACAACATGCCTTGCGACCCGGCAGGTGCCTACCACGGAGCCAGCGCCATCCCCGAGGCACCGCTCGGGGCTTCTCCATAGCAAGCCAAACTCAACAGAGTCCAGCTTGGCGTTTGCTTTGCCGGCCCCGGCCAGCAATTGACATTCCTGTATTGGATGGCGAAAAAACAAGATACCGACTACCGCAGTGGGAGATGATCTGCGGGTGAGTGTAGCACGCAATCCGTTACACAGGAACTGGAGTGAAGTACAGCTAAAGACCAAGAGCCGCAAGAGTGCAGCAGCAGTAGCAGCAGTGGTAGCAGAGGCAACACTGTCAATGGTGCCCAGCAGACGTAGCAGCAAAAGCAAGTGCGCCGCCAGGGGTAGTAGGACGAGCCGGACTAGGAGGGGTAACCGCTGTAGTGGAGATGGAAAGGAATAACAGGTTTTCGCAGTATAGGATTAACGTGACAAGCATCGTGGCGATGGTATAAGTGGAAATGTCAGGAAAATCCTGTCAGGACCTGCGTTCAACACTCAACGCCTGGCCAAAGGCGCTGCGACCGGCTTGTACTCGATTTCTTGTGTTTGGGCTTGGGGTTGGAAGGAGGCATGTTGAAGACTGATGGTTTGCAGGTGTGGTTGGGGTATTTGATTCGTGTCTTAGAGGATGTCGTATAGAGGTAGCTGCATCAAAGCTTGCAGGTTGAGGGGCAGATTGTCGTTTCGGGACTGGGTATCACCCTCAAGTGCATCTTCCAAGAAGTCTCGTAGATCCGGAATTAAGCGGCCCCACTCGATACCTGGCAGACCTAGAGCACCTTCACCGTTGGGAACGGAGGAGTCTGAGTGGTAAGCATTGGATAGTGGGTTGACGTTGGAGGTCTAGAGAGGTCTAGAGAGCATCCGTAGAGCAACCATGAGCATTGCCAACCAGATATTCGTCAGAGCTCGCAGTACGGCATGTCTTTTACTGCAAAAACGATCCGAGGATTGTTGTGTTCAGTATCAGCCCTACCACGTGCCTTCGACAGTTTGGTTATGTCTGTAAGGTGGGTGAGGCAGAATCGTCTCTTTGCGAGCCTGAACGTGGCTGCCAAAAACCGTCCACTTACCTAGGCTGCATGTGGGCTCTGAACCATGCCCATGAATAGAGTTCGATGGTAAACATGAAGCTAAGCTTGCTGAGGCTCATTGCCATGAAGCCACGCGCCTGCGTAAACTTAACATCCAGGAGGCTCTCAATTCTCTCAGGTTCCAGAAGCAATGAAAGTAAGGCCCTGCAATCTGGCAGGCCTACAGTACAGTTGGCACATCTTCAAACCCACGAAATGCAATCATTTTCTCAGGTCCCATATCACTGAGAGATCTTTGCAGTCTGCACCGTCCATTGCACAACTCTAAGCTCCTCAGAAAAGGTCTTTATGCATTTGTCCCGAAAAGGCCGAGAAGTTGCTCCGGCAGCTGCCAGTGCTGCGTGAGCTGAGGGGCAGAGGGTCCGAGCTCTGAGCCATGTAGAATTTTGTGGTTTTAGTGTCCAGGAGTTTGCAGGGATACGGGGAGTTCGCAAACGCGCGAAATGGACTTTGGCCGAAGGGCCAGTTCAATGCCAGCATGTGCCACCCTGGTGGTTCTCAACAAGCCCCAAAGCCGGGTATCGAGGAAGTTGCGCGAAGTTGCGGCCAAAGCGACGCAGGCATCTTCTTTTCTGGAAGGTGTAGCAGCAAAGCGGGCCTTAACATATTTACAGGGGGGGGGCGCCTTCACGCTTGCGCAGGGCTGGTTGCGTGGGAGTCTGCTACGTATGCGGCTTGTTTGTTTGAAAGGCATTTGGTAGTTTCCCCAAACAGGGGACTCTAATGCAGACCCCAAGATACGATGATCCTTATTACGGGGACCCCAAAATGGTACCCTTGATTTTGGGAAACCCCTGTTTAGGAATGTGGCGCTATTTGTTCGAAGGAGGTTGGGCCCATGAGTGGGGGATGGGATTGCGGCCCATCGGCAGTACTCAAGGATACCAATCAAATATTCAGATAATGCTTGGCATCAGTCACAGAACCTTTCCAAACCCTAAGCCCCAACTACAACTATGTAGTGATGCTGAGAACTCATGCACCAAATTCTTGACCTTGAGCGCACTTGAAATTTCATGGAATTTTTAATTGCTTATAGTTGTTTCTTCTATAAGGCCAGTTAGGGGGTTGTAAGCCCAGCTATAAGTTGTTACGTTGAAGCTTACGCCGCATTTTGACCCTGAGGGCCTGAGGGGTTTAGGGTTTAGGGTTGAACTCTCCGGTTTTGCGCCCGTAACGAGAATCCCATGAAGCATTTCCGATGGTACACCAGGTTTGCTATGTTAGCCATCCAGGCTCTGGGAAGCACGGACATGATTCTCCCTTGAGGGTCCAAGTACGCAATGTTCACATACTTGCCCTTTGTGCTTAGGGGTCATATTGGGGTCATATTGGGTTTATATTGGGGTGATTTAGGGATAATGGAAAATAACATGGAAACTACTATAGTATAATTTCTAAAGTTAGACTTACTTAAATCGCGGCTACTCAGTTATTGGGCGGTTGGACGCTTAACCCTGGCCCTACACGCTATATGTCCTTACGACGATTTTAGAGGGACCCTACTGGGTTGAACACCTCTGTTTACATGGAGTGCCCTCATGCCACAACAACGAAACAGAAAGGTCATGGAGAAGAGACGCTGTATGAACCCCCAGAAGGGTTTGGGTATACAAAAGTGGTTTTCTAGTTTCCATGCAGGGAAGCCAGTATAGTGTAGACCCCCAAATACTAGAATCCTGATGATGGGGACCCCCAGAAAGGACCGTAATTTTGGGAAGTCCGTTTAGGGCCTCTAGGGTATGCAAACATTGTATGGGGTTCATGCCCAGATCTTAGTAAGAACGTAGGGTCATAGGAGGTAGGGTTTAGGGTTGAGGGTTTAGGGTAAGGGGACTTAGTAAGTAGGTTAATAATGTGGAGCCTTGGGTTTATTATGTGGCTTCTCAGGTTTCTTACCTGCTCACAAAGCCCCCATGACCCTATGAGCAAGCGATTTTGAAAAAAAACAGCAAAACTTGCTTCAGCGCAGCCGCTGGAGTGAGACAGACCGAAGGACCCTGCACCACAGTGGCGGCTTAGGGTTTAGAGTTTAGGAATGTATTCCAACCAGTCGGAAAAGGCCGCACTAACAAATGTGAAGCCGCGAAGTCCTCATGTCCTGCCTTCAAGGGCCGTGTTATTTTGAACCTACTTTGCAGGGTTTCGGGTTTCGACTTTCCAGGCCTGTTCCATGGATGAGTGCGGGACCCAGACCACCTCACCAGGGCGTCTTGAGTTTAGAGTTTAGGGCTTTTAGTCTAAAGTTCAGCCTCGAGGTTGGGGTTTAGAGTCCGGAGTTCAAAGTTTAGGCTTTATGAGTTGGGGTCTAGAGTTTAAGGTTTCTGGTCTGGACTCTAAATTCTAGCACTGTTTCGGAATTGTGTGGTTGACTGCTTAGGATATTGGGTTTAGGATGGGGTTGCTAGTAGTAGTCCAAATTTGAATTTAGGCTTTTGGGGTCTAGGGTAGTGGGCTGTGGGAATAGAGTCAGGGATATGCGGGAATCTTGAAGCGATCCTGGGTGCTTTTCATATGCGAGTTCTATTGCAAGAGCTCATATATATATATAGATATTTGTGTATATGCAACAGGCTAGCTTTTTATGACCTGGAATGTGGCGGGATATGAGCAATCACATGGAAATACACCTGGCAAAACCTTGAGCCTATCGGCCACCAGTCTGCGGTAAGACTTTCCATCCAAGCCGCAAACCATAAATCCATAAGCATTGAACCTAGTCTCGAGTCTCATGCCTTACATGCTGTGCTTGTTTGGCGGTAATCACTCGATATAGTGATTGGGATGGTGGGAATGCCTGTCTATAGTAGGTACGCAACAGGGGTGCAATCTAAGTCTTTTCCCACCAGCTGTGCGCCAGTGAACCCCAAACCCTATAGTTCCTACGATAATCCTTCGTTTCGGAACATAACGGTCCACGCGAACCTCCTAAGACTGCTGCCTTTGACCTAAAGCCTAATCAATATACACCTTAAAGCCCTGAACTCTAAGCCTGCCATGAAAAGCTATCCCACTCCCCGCCCATTCCCCCCGCAACGCCCCCGCTTGGGGGGTCATGGGGTTATTTACCTACCTACGAAGCCCCGCTGACACCCTAAACATCCCTGAGCTCTAATCCCCAAACTCTATGTCATTCCATTATGAACCTGGCTGATCCCGGAACCCCAACCCCTAAAACCCAAACCCTGGGCCCTAACCCTGCAGTCTCCTTAGAAATTCTGTTATTACTGTAATAACTATAGGGAATTCATGAAAATTCTATTTTTATTTTAGGTCTCATGTTCTCACTACGTTTTTTGAAG